GATGACGGCTGGGTTAATACATGCCAGTAAAAAAACAACAACAAACCACTCCAAAAACATACGTCTGTGATAAAAAACTGCTGACCCCTGAAAACCTCTTCTAGTATCTTTATTCTTCAATAATTTCCTTTAAATCTATCACCTGTTTCATAGAGCCCATTTTGTTGTTTATTTTCTAACCTTTGACAGATCAAAAGAAACCAGTCTTCTGAAAACTATTTTACATATTAATGTATTGCCACAGCCTCTGAACGCCAAGACTTTTATCTCAGAACAATCAGAAGAAAAAAAGAACAGCAACCTTGAATGGACATTTCAGATTTCTATGAAAGACCTTTTTCCTGTATTGTATTATCGTTGTTATAATTAAACAGTTTAACGCCACCCAATATCTAATCACTAGAGCAAAGAGGATTTATATACTAAATACTGCATTTGTATCACTTCTCAGTATCTCAGCTTTGGAAGGTCACAGTATCAATTTGCATTTTGCAAACATAATGAGACAGCAATTAAAGAAAGGTCAAAGACACTATGTGTAGTTTGCACCTAGTGTTTGTGATTTAGTGGGCACTAAAATGAAGCCAATCTTTCTGCTTAGATACATCTAAATTAAAAATGATCAATAGTTGCACCTCCAATGTAAAAGACTGTGTTCCTTAATACAAAATATATATGAAATATGAAATATATATGAACAATTTTAACAAAATTTTAGGATTGCTTTTTCTCTTACTTCTAAGATTCTTAATTTCACTAAGATTGCAATCTGATTAATTTAGCAATCACCAAAAGCAAGTGCAAATCCAGTACAGCATTAAAGCAATAAATTCATTGCTAGTAGATACTTAAAACATCAAGGACAAATTCATAAAGGTGTTTGTTGAATGAGAGTTCATTTGTTCCTTATATTGAAAAGGACTCAAAGCCCCAGCTTTTCCTAAAATAGTCTCACTGAGCAAATAATGAGTTTCCATGTTGATGGTGTTTACCTCATTTAAATGTGCTTTCCTGGATACATTTAGAAAACGACAGCCCATATTTCCGTGCATAAATGCCATTTTGTAATCTATATATTACAAGAGTAAAAGCTTTGCAGTTTTTTTGACCAACAGAGTAGCCAATCTTATAAAATGAGAGTTATCAGTCTTCTGAAGGATAGTGGTGATTTTATACAAAAAAAAGAACCAACAAAAAAACAAACAAACAAAGAAAGCTACTGCATTACAAGGCTGAATTAACTTTGGACAGAAGAGGCACACTTAAGGCTATTCTTTCCCACTCCACTCACACTTACGTAGGGATAAGTGGATTAAGTAGGGGACTGAACAAGCCCAAATGTGGTCTGCAATAGACACCCAAAAAAATGTGACGTGTTAGATTGGTAAAACACAGAACACTGCCTGCAAAAACCTTTGCAAGAATCTTTCTTTCCCCTTGCTATCTACCTGAATAAAATAATGAACAAAATGGCTTGTGTTGCCAGCTGTGAAACAAAATAGGCATGTTCCTTTTTTTTTCTGTATGTAAATGCTAATTCCATCAGGGTCATGGTGGGCCTGTCCCTATTTCTGGCAGTCTATGGGCAAGAGGCAGGGTACACCCTAGACAGGTTGCCAGTCTGTCATAGAGCAACACAGAAACACAATGACTTACAATCATGCAAATACACGCACCTAAGACAATTTAGAGAGGCCAATTAAACCAACAGTGATGTTTTTGGATTGTGGCCGGAAGCCACAGTACCCAGAGAGAACCCACGCTTGCACAGGGAGAACATGAAAACTCCATGCAGAACCCAGAACGTTCTTAATGCAAGGCAACAGTGCTACAAACTCCACCAACATGAAGCCCTCCGATAAAGATTTCACACATTTTTACCTAATGTCTGTATGCTGTGATCATCCAAAAATTAAATTCAAATGTATTTAAATTCTTCTCACATTTCTGCCCCCAGCGTTAAATTTCTCTAAAGGACACTGTGATAGCTGCCCTTAATTTGAAGGATCCCAAGTCTCTTCATTAAAAGCAACCTTAGAATAATGAGAAAATTCAAATTTGAGATTGTGTCTAAAAAAATTAAGTAATTTCTATATTTAATGATTGAAATATACAACTCTCTCTTTGGCAAAAAGGCATTTCTTGTTAACAGTTAATCAAACATGTAAGTATTTATTTAGAATTTCATAAGTAACCCCTTTTAACATAGAAAAAAATCTAAAACTAAAACATTGAAAAAAAAAACTTCTATGGCTTGAAACTATATTAAACTGATTTCAAATGTACCCTAATGATCTGTTAAGATTACTGTCATAATCTAAAAAGGAGTGAAGGATATTTTTTTTTCCTTTCAATAAAATGCATCTTAAAAGAAAAAAACATAAATAAAAAAATGAGTATGAAATTGTACCGGTAATTTGTTTTGGAATTCATTAAGTTTTATTTGAATTAAAACATTTCTTATTCAGTAGAACATAATTTAGCTTAAAACAAGCAAATGTATTATGAAATAATAAACTATTTCTAGACCGGGCTACTATTGCTTTATATCTGAGTGAATTGTTTACATTTCTAAAATAAGTTTACCAGTCTCAGAAGCTCAGTGTGTTTTTTGTTGTTGTTTTATTATATTATATTATTATTATTAAGGCTTACAACTTTCCTTTTTTAATAAAGCTTATAGGTAGACTGGCTCAGGTTATCCTGAGCTATTTCTATAGTTAAGCTGCTACAGGCTTAGACTGCAAGAGGACATATGGACCCCTTTTCATCATTCTGCTTCACTCCATCTCTATTCTCCCATTCTGCAGTATTTGTAAGTTCACTCTCTAATTTTATGCCCCCTCTGCTTTTTCTTATCATAGTAGCTTAATCTGGTCTATTCCTGTTTGACTGTAACACCATCCTTGACAGAAATATCAGCTGTGCTGCTGCCATCAACACCTTTGTTTATAGATTGGCTTGTTTTTCAGTGTAGTTCTGTTTCGCTGACTGTGATTAACTGTATGGGCTCTCTTCATCCGACATGGGACCTGGCTAGAAGCTTGGCTGTGGGTTTCCTGGACAGAGCTGCCTGTGGAGCATGTTGACAGTTGCCTTTTGTATCTCTGCTTCTTTTTCTATGTCTGCTTCTGTCTCCTTGAACCCCAGTCGGCAGATGGCCGCTCACGCTGAGCCTGGTTCTGCTGGTTTCTTCTTGTTAAAAGGGAGTTTTCCTCTCCACTGTCGCTAGAAGCATGCTGGGTGTGAGGGATTTCTTCAAGACAATGAGTCCATGCAATCAGCTGGTTTTCCTTAGATGATAAAAAAAAAAAAAAAAACTTTGGACCAATCTGACTGTATGATCTGGTTGAATTGTCTCTGTAAAGTGCCTTGAGATGACATGCTTTGAATTATATAAATAAACTAAATTGAAACTGAATTTCATTGAATATTTTATCAGTAGAATCTGATTAATTTAACTTCCCTCCATATCTCCTGAGTTCAAAACACTGCAGGGCTTTGGTTTTCTCAAAAGTCTTTTGGGTGTTATGATTGCATGCTTTGAAAACAAATTCAAAACTGCTTTAGAAAGTTACTTAGTGACATTAAATATATAGTTGGGAAGGAAATCAAAACGATATGTTTGTTTTGTGTTTAAGTCTCTGGTCTGAATTTAACATTGTCATGATTCTGGTTCTGTTTAAGTTTTCCTTTTGAGTTTTCAGTTCCACTTTCTCACTTTTCCACCTATGTGATTCTGTGTTTTCCAGCTAATTGTTTTCATTTCAATTTTGGGTCATTCTAGTTGTTTTCTGGTTGTATTTGAGTTCTTATGTATTTCTTGTTTACTCTCTATTGCCCCCTTGTGTCAGTCTCCTTTCCCCCACCTCTCTTTTAGATCCTTCAGTCCACACCTGCTCCCATCAGTTGATAATTCCATTCTTTGTTCTGTTTGGCATTTTTTGCTCCTCATCTGCAGTTACTGTTTGCTGGATTCTCTTCATTCCCTCCTTAATCCATATCTTCCCTTTTGTTCATGTTCCTGTGTTCCTTGACCAGTTGTTGCCGCTACTCCTTATTAAATCTGCAACAAACCACCTCAGCTTCTGTCTCTGCATTTGGGTCCTTTACAAACCTACAACCAAACTGACAAATATATGCAGAGCCTATATTTTTTTTGGGGGGGTACTATCATCAACTATCAACTTTTTTCTGCACCTCTTTTTTTTAATTAGTGTTCCTCTTGACCTTTATTTAGCAGTAGCGTGATAGGAAGAAGGACAAAGTAAAAAAGGAAAGACGTGGTAACTGGCCTAGGGTTAGGCATTGATCTACTGGCTGTGATGCGTTTACTGACCCACAGCATAATTTCTTAGACTGTGACAAAAATATAAGCAACTCGCAAATCTGTACAACACCTAATATAAATTTTGCATAAAAACAGGTTCAAATTAAGGGACTGGTCATTGTAACTTTGTGAGCAATGGGTTGCAATTGTGCAAATCCCAGGGAGCATTCTTGGACTAAGGGTCTTGCTTAAGGACCCAGGATGACTTGGTAAGATTTAAACTTGCAGTACTTCAATGGCACAAGCTCTTTGCTCCAACCACAGGTTCACCAATACATTTTTTTTATTTTATATTTATCCATGATACATAAAAATTACAATTAATTATGAATTGCTTTAGTCTCTAAACTAGCAAACTGAGGTTCTTATAGAATGTAACAACCATAAATATAACATCCATGTTCTGGATTCCATGATGCCACCTGTGAGGAATAATGTGTTTTCTGGGTAGAAATAAAAGTCTTTCAAATATATTCCAATGTGACCCGGAAAGCAGCAGCACCTGTGAATGAGAAGTTATCTCTAAGACTTCTCTGGGTTCTACAATTATAAGACATTGGAATCATAGAAAACATAGTAGAATGTGCAGCATTTTTCATATGTTAAAATATCCACATTGTGACATTTAATCCAAGCTTAATTTAGATGTTTTTGTCCTCTTATTTTACAGATTGTTATTTTCCACAATGTGACCATAACAGTGCCAGAGAACTTCACCCAGTGCACCACCCATGGCAGTTTTGTTCATCGTTGGCAAGAGACACTCTATAACATGTTCACGTTTACCTGTCTCTTCCTTCTGCCCTTGATTATCATGATTTTCTGCTACACGCGAATCTTTGTGGAGATATCCAGCCGCATGGCTCAGAATAACTGTAAGCAACAATTTTTCTTTCTTTATAGCTGTTGTCGTTTTAGTTCATTTCCTACTACAGAAATGTTGTTTTCTTCCAGCTCTGTCAAGAGATATCCACCTCCGGCGTTCACACAGTAACATTCCAAAGGCTCGGATGAGGACTCTAAAGATGAGCATTGTTATCGTGACTTCGTTTATCATCTGCTGGACACCCTACTACCTGCTTGGACTGTGGTATTGGCTGTTTCCTGAGAAAATGGAGGAAACAGTCTCTCATTCACTCACTCATATGCTTTTTGTTTTTGGCCTCTTCAATGCATGTTTGGACCCCATCACTTACGGCCTGTTTACAATTCACTTTCGCCAAGGTTTGAGGAGATGCAGTCAAAATTCAAACATCCACACTGAGTTAGGAAATAATACATGTCTTGTGCAGGTGTCTTGCTTATCGTCTCGCAGGCAGATCACCTATGACAGTCCGGGTAAACAGAAAGGGGTAGTTAATGCAAGCATCAAATCAAACAATACTTCAAGTGCTGTCATTTCAGTGAGTGAGGTTTAATGGCTGAAAGCCTTTCAGGGGGACAGGGATGTCTATCTATTAATGAATGTTAGCTCAGATTTGCAGTTTCTGTTCTGCAAAGTCTCATATCTTGTCTTTCAATTTAAAATATACTTCGAATGTCTTATTTTAGCAACACTTCAGTGAATGAAATGTTCAATGAAGTGATTCAGCCAAGCAAATGCAGAATGTAACATGCTGTTTTTGAAAAACAGGGAAAAGCTGCTTTCGTGAAGAGAAATCCCTCAGATCCAGACCCATGAGTAATAACATACCCGTGATGAACATCTAATTGCTAAAACATCTTTCTGTAATATTTGTGCCTACGTTTTGCAGATTCCTTAATCTTTGTTGGTTTGGAAAATAAGTCAGTATCTTAAATATGGCATGTAATATCAAATGCATATCTAATTTTTAGGTAGCGTTATTAAAAGACGACACTTAAGCATACAAAAAAAGAAAAAAATCACGCTTCTTTTCTATAATTCCACATTTGGTATTAAGGAGAAGCAAATATAGATAATGTATATATATATACCGGTATGTATATGTATACATATATGTATA